TCTCAGAATTCTGACTTCAATCTCAGAATTCTGACTGAATTCTGACAATAAAAAAAGTCAGAAATCTGAAAAAAAAAAAGTCAGAATTCTGACTTTTTCCCCATACTATACTGAAATAAAATAAAAAAATCAGTTAAATTTTTCTTTTTCCAGTGGCCCTAATCCTCTTCCGTACCATGAGGCTGGGTCAACAGCTAACATTTGCATTGCAAAGTGAAGAGAATATGATTTGTAAAACACAATTTGTAAATAAAATCTAAAAAAAATGCAATTTGTAAAACTCAAACTGAAAAACAAAAACTTAAAGAAAATAAGAGAAATATAAAGTAAAACAATAAAAAAAAAATCAAATAAAGATAGAAAAATTTAAATAGAAAAAAATCAACAAAAATAATAATTTGGAAAACAAAACCTGAAAAAAAAAACAAAGTTACTCTTAAAACTTTTTTTTATTATTAAAATGCTTTTCAAAGTTTCATTTCTAGATAGCTTTTTTTCAATTTTCAATAGATTTTTTTTTCTAATTTCCACTTGTAAACTGTGTTTTTTGCTAGCAACAATTATTGTACAAAATTCCCTTCATACTATCCCAGCAACCCCACAAGGACAATGGGTAGAATATGGATGAAAACTTCATCTTATTTTTCATAATAGAAATAAAATAAATAACTTGAGAAAAACTAAAGTGAAACCATTTACCGGTAAATGTCCCCTGCCTCAATTGCTTTCATGCAAGATGAGCCAATCACATCAATGGGCCAATAATCACCTTTTTCTGATGATATTTTTTCAATTCCTTCTGCAGCCTATCCTTTTTTTATTCTTCGTGTTTTTGTTTTTTCCACCTCCAGCACATATATTATAAGTCTTATTTACCTGTTAAGGGTCTTTATCAGAGGTGTAGCCAGAACATTTTTATAAAGGTGGCTAGGCAATAACCAATGTACACTGAGGGGTGGCTGGAAGTATATAGGCACAATAACCTCAGGGTCAATCCAAAGATAAGAATAACTATACTTTCCTACAGCCTTTGCTAACAAATAGACGAATATATTCAAACATCCGTGTTTTCTAGATTAAAGGTATAGTGGATTAAGTTCTTTAAGGTTTGAGTTCTGGGGCGAACATCTTTTCCATTGTCATTACTTACCTTTTATCAATAATAATTCTTTATAAAATTTATATTTACAAGTACTAATAGCTACATAAATCGAGTATTTCATTTGTTTTTATTAAAAAAGTTATTTATCTATGATTTCACTGAAGACTCCCAGATGACTTGCAGAGACACATCATTTTCTCTTTACCCCATATAACACAGAATCTAGTTCTGAAAAGAGCAGGAATTCTGTACTTATCATCTTTAATGTTAGTATATAATTAACCACAGTGTTTTTGTTGTCAAGAAATTATGAATACATGAAAAAATAGTAATATATAAAAAATTAAAATGAACATTCCACCTGAGAGGATGTATTAGAGGGAGTAAAAAATGGTAGGGGTGGCCACAGGGGTGGCCACAGATTGGCTAAGGCCCTGGTCTCCATCATGCTCATGTTAGATGTTAGAATCGCGGATGCAGGGTGCGCTGCGCACCCCATATGCACATCAGTTTGTAGCCACTGTTTGGCCAACCTGGGGCCCCTGGATAGATGGATGTGTGTCTTGTCCCAGGAGCAATAAGCAGGGGTGTGGCCAGAAATGTTTTATAAGGATGGCAGGGCAATAACCAATGTACACTGAGGGGTGGCCGAAAGCAGATAGGCACCAGAACGTCAGGGTCAATCTACACAGTTCCAACAGGAAAATTTATGAGAAAAACATCCATATTTTCTAAATAAAGACAAACTATACTTTCCTACAGCCTTTGCTAACAAATAGATGCATATAGTTAAACATCCGTAATTTCTAGATAAACGGCATACCTTTGAGTTCTGGGGCGTAAATCTTTTCCATTGTCATTACTTACCTACTTTTATCAATAAAAGTTCTGTGTAAAATTTATATTTAAAAGCACTAATATCTACATAAATTGGTTATTTGATACATTTTTATTAAAATTGTTATTAATCTTTGATTTCACTGAAGACTCTTAGATGACTTGCAGAGTCACATCATTTTCTCTTTACCCTACAGAATCTAGTTCTGAAAAGAGCATGAATTCTGTTTTTATCATCTTTGATGTTAGTATATTGATGTGTATAATTAACCACATACAATTTTTTTTTTTTTTTTTGAATATTCCACTTGAGAGCATTACTGCTGCCATCATCTGTATTAGAGGGGGAAAAATGGTAGGGGTGGCCCCAGGGGTGGCCAATGATTGGCTAAAGGTGGCCATGGCCACCCCTGGCCCCCCATCTAACTCCGCCCCTGGGTCAGATCTGAGCTTGGTCTTATCTTCTTCTGTCTCCTTGAACCCCAGTCGGCCTCAGCAGATAGCCGCTCCCACTGAGCCTGGTTCTGCTGGAGGTTTCTAAAGGTTAAAAGGGAGTTTTTCCTCTCCACTGTCGCTACAAGCATGCTTAATGTGAGGGATTGCCTTCCAGTCAATGAGTCGATGTAATCAACTGGTTTTCAACAGTTCTGGTTCAACTGAAAATTGCCTTGAGATGACATGTGTTGTGAATTGGCGCTATCCAAATAAACTGAATTGAATTGAACTGAATCCACATGTGAGTGGATTCTGGGTGTGCGTGCTTTTGACAGTGGGGGGGGTCATTCACACAGACTGTGGTGGCAGTTGAATCAGTTTCCCTTGTGTGTGTTGGTGTGTTTGTGCACAGGGGGGATCCATAAGAGAGGGAGAGAGTGAGGTGGAGAGAGAGAGGGAGGAGTGAGCGTCGGTCCTGAGGCTGTGTGCAGGGAAGGAAACGGAGAAGGCGGATGCTGAGAAGAGTCTCTCTCCATAAGGATCTCGTCCTGGATATATTCGGTTTTTTTCTTAATGCATGTGTGATGTTATCCGTCGCTTTTTCGAGCACCACCCATTTAGAGCCACCAGCCTGTCTCTGAGCTGTCAATCCAATCACACCGGGGGCTCTACATGTGAGTGCATGGCGCACCCGGCAGGGCGGATCTGCTCCAGGAGGGCTAAAAAAGCCGGTTAAAATGGATAAAAGGTCAGCCATCATCTATTCATCCCGATGCCTCTCATAAGGAATGGCCACTAAAGGGTTGGAAACGCGTGTTTGATGCGGGAGGAATGCAGTTTAACGGGACTCGTGTGCGCATCTTGGATTGGATTGGCTGCGTGGCTGCGCGGCGTTATTAGGCCCCTTCTTCTCATTCATTTGGTCCTCAGGTCCCTCACCGACACGTCCCCCCCTTTTCCTAATCCTGGTGTAGCGACAGTCTCCCATAGCGTCGGCCGGAGCGCAGAGCAGGGAAGATGATGTGCGAAGTGATGCCGACCATCAGCGAGGGAGACTCGGCCGGTCCTCCGAGAGGCACCGGCAGCATCCCGAACGGCTCGGATCAGGAGGCCAACTTCGAGCAGCTGATGGTCAACATGCTGGATGAGAGAGACAAGCTGCTGGAGTCTCTCAGAGAGACGCAGGAGACCCTCATCCAGTCTCAGGCTAAGCTCCAGGGGGCGCTACACGAAAGGGACATGCTCCAGCGGCAGATCAATGCCGCGCTGCCTCAGGTGAGCAAAGTGGCTTTCCTTCAACAAGCCTCCATTCAGCCTGCAGCCATTCAGGTTTTTCATGATGCCTTTAACTGACTGGACAGGTGAGCGAGTCACAAGGAGAAAACTATTTTAACAGGTGCATTTTTTGGGAATCTATTTTGCAACATAAACAGCAGTGCTGCCCAGTGGCATCTTTATTTTCCACCATAACCAGTACTAGAGCATCCACCTTCTATCATATTTAAATGTCAAATCATTCTGGCTTAAACATGTATATTAATGTATTCTTTATCAGACCATACTGTCCCAAAATTTAGAAAATTTCTATAAAAAAATATCCTGTCTTAAAATCTGTGTTTTCTTGTTATCTTCTGCCGGCCAGTTAGTTATACGTCAGCTTGTACTCCTAAATTCAGCAAATCATATATCAACGGTCATCTATCAATCCAATTTTTTCGGTCATAGCATCTCAATTCATATGTCGCAGCTAATATACGCAATGGTTGAAATAAGAAATCAGAATAATTTCCTTTCCCATTGAGTTGCGTCCCAGTGTTCATGGGGATGGACGTCTGTGTCTTCAGCAGGCGTAGAGCTAACAGAACTGGCAGCGTTGCGAGGCAAGGGCTCAAACATGTACGGCTGTAAGCCTTCTACACCAAACCAAGCTTCTGCCGCCCTGGCGTCCTCTTCCACAACATCTTCATCCCCGCTTTCCTCCTCTAAATAAAAAATGTATGACGGAGGAGACTCATCCACGACCTCCAACACTAAACTCTCCTCCTCTTGCATGTTTCCGCTGTCCATACATTCCTTGACAGCGTCGTTTCTAAGTCACCAATTTAGTGCTACTTGGTCCCAATGGAATTTCCCATTGGGAACCTACTAGCACTAGTACTAGCAGAGTTGCTAACTGGTTAGCAAGATGCTTCCAACAAACCGGCCACAATCAAACTTGCTTGCGAACCTTCCGCCACAACAGTCCCGCCCTCTTGATAAACGACCAATCACATTCACTTTATTGACTCGTGTAAAGTCGTGCACCACTCTGGAGAATTCAGAACTGCAACATTTGGAATAGCTGTTTCACTGCGACTTTAAACGTTTTTTTTAAACTCATCCCCCTTCTTAAATGACCACCCCCCCATACCATTACCTGTGACATTTTATTACTGAATGTGTATAATTTCTACTATATATTAACCGTGATGGCACTAATATTACCATTTCAATATTTGGCAGGCTGTGGGAGTACGAGTTGCCTGAGCAAAATAAATAAAATCATAGAGTTGTCCTACCATGACTATGAAGCTGATCCTATTGGGAAATTTGTCCATAACTATGTAGGGGCAGTTATAGCCATGCCTGTCCAGGGACTGACTGCAGTTCTCCTGAAAGAGGCCTAGGTCAAAGGTCAATGACCGGCGTACCAGACATGTAACAACCAAACCTTGCATTTTGCTTTAGGTTAATAGACTACTGACTAGTGTTGCACCGATACCAGTGTCAGGCGGCGCCCCGCTCCAGCACTAAAATGGTGGTATCGGTATCAGTGAGTACCAACAAATAGGGCACCAATACCATTTTGAGAGCCAAACGTTTATTCAACTATTGTCACCCATTCCAGGTAGGCAATAAAAATTTGGATTCACTTTGTATTAGTCTTTTTCCTGCTTCACAAAGGTAGACAGCAGCTTGACAAAGCCATGATGCCAATTATTTTACATCCAAGTAGTATGCAGTTCTTCATATATATACACACACATCAATTTCAAACAGATGGTATCTGTATCATATCAGGCACAGCCAGGTATCGGCTATCATATCGGGGCCAAAAAATGGCATTGGCACAACACTACATCTGACCATAACAAATCATCAATATAATTAACGATGGCAGACTATAATATGCTAGCATGAAATGAATTTCTGTGACCCTTTACAGCAGGTTGATTCTAGGATCAGAGGTTTAGGGGTGCTCAGCACCCAGAGAGCTGTCTGGCCAGACAAGATTCATTTCACTGTTTTCTTCTAATATTTCTGACACTTGTTCAGAGCGTTTTGCTTATGACTCCATCATTCACTAATGCATCGTATTTGAGACATGTGCCAAAAACTTAACAAGCAAAGCAAAAAGCAGCATTTTTTAGAATATTCCAACCAAATTAAAGCTTTCAAACTACAACTTTGGCATGGAGGGGACAGTCCCTACCAATAATTTCCACTTTTTCGCCCTTTCTGCTTAGCCAACAGTAATGGGGTTGGGTGCTGCTAACTGTGTTTTTTCCTTGCTCTCCCGCTGCTCTGGAGTCCCACCTCTCGGTAAAATATTATCGGATCTGTCGCTTTGGGATATAATATTTTTTGGGGTCGCTATTCACTGCGTACAGAGTAGCTACGTGGAGGAGGAGAGACACGGCAGCACTCAGGGAATTTAACTGGCAGCTATTTCGATATATGTTTCGATATATAAAAGTTAGAAGACGGGTTGGTTAAAAATATTAGATATACCAACAAAAAAATCCGTTAGTTAATCAAACTGAGCTTTTTTAGCTAAAAATGGCTACGGAGTGTACATTTATATAAGTTTAAAAAGCGGGGCGTCTCAGAAGACCATTACTCAGAGTCACAGATTAAAATGAACACAGATTTGTTGTTTTCTTATTGAACAGAGAATCAGACTACAATGCTTCTAGATATCTAGAGATCCTGAAAATGATTTTCTCTGGCATCATTATATCATTATATATTGACAGGTTCATAAATCTGTTTTTAAGCAGAGCCGAGACACAATTAGGGAGAGCTGCAGATTTACAGGGATATGCAACATGCAATAAAATATATCCCCAAATTTACTAGAAGAATATGTAATGCTATAATAAAATTCAAAACATATTTTTGTCTTTTTGCCCAAGAGCACATCATCATGTGACAGGAGGAAGCTGGTTTCCAACCCACTTTTTTGGGTTGGGAGACAACTATTTTCCCCACTGTGCTAAAGTAAACAGCTTTCCTAGCTGTTGACTTTCCTAGCTTTCAGTAACACCTAAATACATTCAACATGGAAAATCCGCTGGTTCAGCAACACATAGAAATATTTCACCGGAATTTTATGTAATTTTATCAGATTAAAAAATTATCATTTTTGATCATTTAAACACAAACCTATTAAATTAACCTTACATGATCCGTATTCATTTGTATAATTTGTTTATTTATTTGAATCAATAATCATAAAGTATACTTACTTAATTAGTGTCTTTATTTCAAATATATAAAGTTTATTGTTTAAACTGCATAAAGGTAACCCAGATTATTATGCAATTTTAATGCAACTTGATGTATTTTAAACAAATGCACTCATTAATGTTAAGTATGAGTTAGTATAAGTTATAAATTCTAAATACATAAACCTAAAGTTAAAATTATATATATAAAAAAAGTAAATGGAAATTAGTTATGAAACAAAAAGTTACATAAATCTTAAATTTTAGGTGTAATATTGTTGTGAGTGTAATTGGATATTAAGAGAATTACATCAAATTGAGGGAGACAGTTTATGACCACATTTACCCAAAATTCAGAGCTAACCAGATGTTGCAGACAGTGTGGTGTATCTGCAATGTTTCAGATGCTGAAAGTGCAAAGAAAATGGTAATCATTCTCCAGTGTTAAGGTATGCTACGTTTGCTACATATGCCAGGTTACAGTTGGATATTTTATTTTAAAGGTTATGCATTTAATAGAAGACCAAAGAAAGTTTTTAAAAATGTATTACAGCTGTTCTGAGCATAGCGTAACACATTGCTTCTGCCCCACCCTCACTTATTGCAGTGCAGTGCAATAAGTCTAGTTGCAAAAAAAGTACAGTTTAGCCTTGATTTTAAAGGTGTTTTATTCTCCTCATATAATCATATGTGACTCCACCCATGCACGCACCACTAGTGGTTCCTAGAATGCAGTTAGTGATCCAGCCCTAATACAATCACATAAAAAGTGCATAAAATCATATTATTATTTTAGAAGATATTGAGAATCCATTTGAATATTCAAAGAGAAACACTTTCAGTTATTTTGTCACACCTTCATCATTCTGGTGAGTTAAAAATCCACATGTTAGCTTAGAAATATAAAGCTAAGAAGAAGCTATTTTATCAGTTTTATTGCAGAGCTACCAGGATCTGACAACACCTGAGCTCCATCTCACCTGACTTCAACCTTCTACTCCGATTGGTGCAGAATCCCAATGCGTCAATGTTTAAATCTTAACAAGAAATAAACAATTCTTTATTTTGGACCAAAATGTATCAAACTATTTTATGTATATATATATATATAAAATTTTTTGTTGCAAGATTAATACTTTCATTCTGCACCATTCCAGATGTTTAGAGGATGTACTATTTTTTTTTTCAAATGAAACGGTTTAATTAAAACTTTGTAGCTATCACCTATAAACTTTGATATGGTTTTGAATCGTTTTAATATACTTTTCCACTTTCCTAAAATACTGATATTTTTTTTGGTCTGATATTTATTTTAAGGTGAGATTGCATTGTTATGCTTTAAAGGGGAACAGCATCAAGTACTAGAGATATACCCATATTATTTTTGGCTGGTTTTATTTGTGTTTTATCAATCTATTCGTGCAAGAATTAGCTGATTTACAAACACTTTTCACAGCCATCCTTTGAGATTACACATGCTGTGACCCTCTCTCCGTTTGCTATCCATTGTTATTGTTTTCTTTGATTGGCAGAATATTAATAATTATTTTTTTTAAATACACTTATTTAAAATTTGCTATTGTGTAATTTTTATCATGTAAAATGTGGAAGGGTATCAGCCTAAAGAATCAGCTCTAAAAAATCGGGGATCAGTTAAACCAATGTCAAAATAATCGGCAACGGCCTTAAAAAGCCTTTATTTTCACCTTGGTATATTGTTGTAACACAAATGTCTTATAATCTGCATAACAGGAATTTAAAAATATATGCCTTTTGCGCTAAATTATA